CCAAACACGCTCGGAATGAGTCTTTAAAAAACATGTTTGAGGCGATTTTAAGAGCCACCGTTACCAAGGGGCATTTTTCCCTACGGCAATTGTCTTTGGACCTTTTTAGCTGCCTTTGTCGGGCTGTTTATAGTTAGTTGGGGCGATTTCTCAAGTTGGCCGAACCTCAAAATGTTTTGAAAAATCTTGTGCCGTTTTGTCAACTTTGAACAATATGCTCCCAATAAGACTGATAATCGCATTCCGTAACAGAGGATGCTAAAGGGAAGGGCCAAGGAAAATTGCCCGTTGAGGGAGCAAAATGCCCCTTGGATCAGACGCAGTGGCTGCTTAAATCGACCCAAAACATGATTTTTTAAAGACATTTCTGAGCGTTTTGGCCACTTTGAGACAATACTGCTCCCAAACTAAGACTGATAATCGCACTCCGTAACAGAGGAATGCTAAAGGAAGGTCCAAAGACCAATTGCCCGTTGAGGGAGCAAAATACCCGCCTCGGATCAGACGCAGTGGCATGCTAAAGGAGGGGTCCCTGGGGTCGCGAAAACTTTTCCTGGGGTCGCGGAAATTTTTTGGCTACAAATTTGGGGTCGCGAGCCGAGAAAGGTTGAGAACCGCTGTCGTAGCCATTCTTTGCGTACCAGTTCTCATGGAGATGCTTATGAGGATGATTGAGAATGAGAAAAAAGAACGGAGAGTCAATACTCTATCTGTGTTTTTTATGATCTATGTAAATTTTCCGCACCAAACTGCGAATTTATTTGGCGGTGTGGGAGACACGTAAGGTGGTGGCCCTCAAGGTTTTCGGCGCGTGATGACGGGATTTGGAGCGGATCGGGCACACGATTGCGATTCCGTGGAGCGCGCTCCTCGATGAGGATCGGGTGGCACAGTCGACCTTTCCCCAGTCGCACGAAGGCGCTGGATTCCCGAAAGTGGTATCGACACGGCACTGCAAGATGCGCCGAAGAGCAACACGCCACGCGTCGGATGCAGGCAGGCCGGGGGAGGCGGGGGAGAGGCGGGGGAGAGGCGGCACCCGTTCAGGCAGATGGCCTTGTCAACTTTTTCACTTGGCCAACTAACTCGATTTGTATTTGAGTGGGGCCCGTCTGGACACGGCCCCGCCCGTTGTATTGTTGGCGGGGCGGGGAAACAAGTTCCTACAAAACGGACGCATTCACCAAAACGTGTTGGGGGTCTTCGGGACCAGGCTCTCCAGAATTACATCATGGGTCCCTACGAGCGGGTGTCGTGAGGGCGTAGTTTGCCTGCACGAGAAAAATGAGTTTGCTGTAAGTAACAGGTAGTAACTAGCTCGTAGAGGTGCGTTAAAATTCTGCTATGGCTGATTCCCTAGAAATATTAACTTAACTATAACTGCGCAACAACACTGCAATCTCAGAGGGACCGCCACAAGCTAATGGCTGTGACTGACAGCTAGTCTAATTTTCCCCGCTCGGCTGCGTTGCCCCGTCGCAGGCGGCTCAAAGTATTTAATGTGAGGAAAGTCGCTTCATAATTTCACGACGGATTTTCTACGTAAGCTTCCGAAATGCTCACGCTCCGCGAAAACTTACAACTTTCCTTGGCGGTGCTTTGCAATGCAAGAATTCGCCAGGATACGAGAGCCCGAGGAATAGAAAGACCGGGCCGGTCTCGGTGGATCTTTGCTCATTATCCGACCCGCTTGGAGGGACTGCGGAGTGCTCGCCGCGCGGCGCTCCGGACAGAACGGCGCAAGTGACGCGCGGGGCGTGGCAGATGCGGCGATGCGGCCTTGCCGGGCCTCGGCCGGCGACGCGAGTCAAGGCGGCAAAGGCCTGGACCGCCCGCCGCTCGCACAGCGCACAGCCAGCGCACAGCCAGCGCACGCCAGCGCCGCCAAGACGCTAGTAGTAGCCTCAGGCTGCTAGACGCTAAGGCCGGCTGGTCGTTATTTACCGATTCTCATCCATTCGAAACACTTGCTGCAGGGCCGCCTGGGAGCGGGGTGGCGCGCTGGCAGGCTTGCCCAGGCGTGCCCAGGCGTGCCGACGCGAAAAGCGGGGAGGCGGGAGGTGTCGGTATCGGACCCGGATCGGATGGACCCGTTTTATTGCCGGCCTCCCCGAATTCGATGAATCCGCGGCGGCAGCCTCGGCAGCCTCGGCCCGCAGTGGCGCCAAACGACTTCCACGTACACGAGGCGCGGGGATTTTTCTTCCGTCGGGCGAGGGAAGGTCCTAATTTGAGGCGTGGCGCGCGTGGCGGCCGTGGCGGCGCTGTGAGCAGGAAGCACCGCGAAGAGGGAGTGATTGGAGGCCGCGGCGCCGCGGCAGGCACTACCCGCCAAAGTGGCGCACTTCGTTATTTCCGGCGCGTTGGCTGCGGGTCGCTAGGCGGGTCGCACATCGCCACCCCTTTCCCCGCGCGGTCTGCCACTTCCTTCTTTCCGTTTTCCACCCCTTTCCACCCTTGCTTTTCCACACCGAGGTCTTTCTCCTGCCAACTCTTGTCGCCCACTGTGGAGTCCCCCTTTTGTTCCCCACTTCTCTTTGAACCCTTGTCTTTCCAATCTCCGCTCTCTCTTTCATCCCTTGGCTGTCCGATCCCGTCTCGTTATCCTTGGTTCCCCACTCGTTTGCTTCCCTTCCTTACCAGTCAACCCTCAGTTTTCCACCCTTGCCGTCGACCCGTGGTTTTCCACCCTTCCCTTACCTCCCCCCCCCCTTTCCAAGCGGCGCTCCCCATACCGTGGGGATCCGCTGAAAAATGAAGTCAAGTTTAGTGCGGGTCGGCCGTCGGGCCGGGGCGGTGGCGCTGGCGTGGCGCTGGCGTGGCGCTGGCGTGGCGCTGGCAGGCTGTTGATGGTGTTGGCGGAACAGCGTTACATCAAACTACTCGCGGCGAGAACAGCTGAGACGGTCTCCGTGGCTTCGGAACACGCCGCAGTTTGGCGTGCAAATTATTTATGTGACTCGGAGATGCCTCTCCCCCTCTCCCTTCCCCTGCTTGCCTCCTCCCGAGGGCACGAGATTAAAACAGCAGGGGCAGCAGGAAAGGCACACGGCGCCAGTGTAGTGGATCCTTCCTCGCTCATGATTTCCTGCGGGGAGTGAAGGAGACACAGACGTGCGCGGAATCCAAAGAGGTGTTTGAATGCGCGGCCGGGGCGGCTCGGTGCGGCTCGGCGGGGCTCGGCAGGGCTCGGGCGGGGCTCGGCGGGGCTCGGCGGGGCTCGGCGGGGCTCGGCAGGGCCTAAGCAGGGCGACCCCGACCCTCAGCACGGCGCGGCGGGAAGGGGTGGGGGAAGCGCCAGGATGTTTGTCCAGCGGGAGAGTTGGGGTAATTATGTAGTGTTAGCGGTTGCGGAAGCCAGAGGCGTGCCAGAGAGGTCCCATATTGGGGCGCAGCACTGCTCTTTCCACTCACAAGGGCGCCGGATGCGAGCCGATTGGTGGCCTCTGTTCGACCTGCTTTTCTACTGAGAATTGCTGCACAGCCACAATACTGAGCTTTTCGGTTTCGATTGAAATCTACCCTCGGGAATTCCATTTCCGTCAGCAGCATCCAATCTACATATGCGACGGTGTAAGACTTGGTCAGCAAAGTTAATTCACAGGGAAGAAACACTTTTTTTTTCTGCTGTTTCGTAGTTTTTCGGTTGGTGTGACAGATAAAAAGTTTAATTCTGACGTGCGGTGTGGTAACGCATTTCTGATAACCTTCCAAAATCTCAGCCGGATCGGCCAAGCCGTTTTGAGCCATCGGGACAGACACGCAGACCATCAAAGTTTCTCAACCACACTCGAGTGCTAACTGACTTTGCTGTTTCTTAGCCAATTACCGTGTTGTCGGGCAATGAGCCTTGACCAATCACTGCACCTGCACACCGACAGTTGTGCTCCACAACGCAGGTGCCATCACACGCTAGGGTAGTGTATCAAAAGACAGAGCATTGCGGTTGCCATGCGTTGACAGACCTTCCAGAAGGTGAACGGGGAGGACGTGTTGTCATATTCGTTTGAACGCGAAACATTCTTCAATCAGGCCGGTTTTTGGCATCCATTTTGGAAGACTTTCAAAAATAATATTGTCAGTACCCATCTCGTGTCCAAGCCTATTTGCTCGTGTCGACAAAATATATTTTCTGTTCCCCATATTGGCATTTCATCCTCACTGTTCATGACAAAAGAGCCTGAGTACAGTTTGTTAGACGCATCAGGGTGTAAGTCACGACACTCGTCGCAGCGTGGCTCTCTCTTCTGACAAGAGATGGCCCGCTAGAGCATGGCAAGCACCACCTGACATAAGAGTGTGCGTCAGAATTGTCGATGGGGGTCAATGGGTGCCAACCATTGTCTAACGAGTGCATGTCAACGTTGTCATCGGTGTCAAGAAGAGTGCATGTTAACCATCATCCGATAAAACGCTGCACCTTTAAGGGTGCAAGGTAAGGTAGCAAGCCAGCGTATAAGCCATTACCTGTTTAAAGAGGCGCTACTCAACTTTTATCAGACAGGTGTGCAAGTCAAGGAAAGGTATGGCTTTCGTCGGAGAATGGCCGGTCCCTTTCTGGCAGAGATGTGCACGTCACTTCTTTCCCGATGACTCGCGTGGTTTTATCAGTCGGATTGTTGAAGTGTGCGTTTAGAAAAAAACTGTAGCATCTAAACACTATTGACGTTATAGTTACGGGTCCAAGTTCAAAAGGTACAGCAGGTTTCAAGGACTGAAAAATTAAAATATTATTTTGTCTTTCCCTAAAAGAAAGGTTTCTTTTCACGGCGCCACGCATTGGTCACTACTCAAAATCACACTGCTTCCCGAAAACAGATCTTATCTGGATGCTTCTGGAAATCACGCCCATTCAGAGGCAGGCAAATTTCTCAAAGTCTGATGTTTTGGCATGAATTGGAGAGAAAACTGACGCAAATCAAACCTTGGTAATCTTGTCTCCTTGATATCGCGTGATTGCCCAGGAACGACCAGATAAGGGACAACCTCTGCTCCAAGGTGCGATGAAAGACTCAATATAAGGAAGACGCTTGTTTACTTTCACACAGTGCGTGCTGGCTCCTCGGTGTATAAGCACTGCAGCTGCATATCACCACACTTTGGTAGCAAACGACACTAGCCAAAGATGGAAACAGGTATCGTTAGTAGTAATAATTTTTCGGACTTCAAATCCTGTACCCGTTCATTGCTTCAACATATTCCCCTGTTCTAGCTTATAGTGGCCCACCTCTCGGCAAAGATACCTACAATATTAAGAGAGGAAATTTTGCTTCTCTCACTGACAAGGACTTAAATGTATTTGAAGGAATCGTTGGCAAGTCTAGAATGTTGACAAATGTGTCTGAGGTAAAGCCATACAATATTGATTGGGTTCACTCGGTCAGAGGTTCGTACACTATTACCATTTTTAGATATGAGGTATCTCAGTATCCATTTATATCAACTGTTGTTACTGTTATTAAAATTCTAGGCAGCAGCCAATGTGTTCTCAAACCTGAAACAACTGAGGAGGTTTCTGCTATATTGAAGCATTGCAATGAACGCCGTTTGGCGGTATGTCCCCAAGGCGGGAATACAGGTCTAGCTGGTGGTAGTACTCCAGTCTTTGATGAAGTAGTAATTTCCACTAGCCTTATGAATGCGATCATTAGTTTCGACAATGTGTCAGGTAACTTCATTGGAGTCGTTTTGGTTGTTTTTGAATTAAATGTCTAAAAGTTTTGGTTTTTAAATTTTTGTTAACATTTTCCAGGTGTATTAACATGCCAGGCTGGGTGTGTACTGGGACAATTAGAATCTTATTTGCAAGAGCAGGGCTTTATGATGCCGCTGGATTTGGCAGCCAAAGGTAGCTGCCAAATTGGGGGAAACGTGTCTACAAATGCTGGTGGCCTTCGTCTTGTAAGATATGGCAGTATGCATAGCACTGTCCTCGGCCTTGAAGTGGTTTGTTTTAACATTCAGATATAACAAAATTGGCCTCAGCATGTGTATGTAGAAAAATAAAAATGGTATTTTTGTAGGTTTTAGCCAATGGAGAAGTTATGAACTGTTTAAACAAAATGAAAAAAGATAATACTGGATATCATTTAAAACATCTTTTTATTGGCGCTGAAGGAACTTTGGGTTTAGTAACTAAAGTTGCGATACATTGTCCTGTTAGTCCGAAATCAATGAATGTTGCATTTCTAGGTAAGTGCGTATCCTGTATCGTTTTAAATTATACACTTGTTCTATTTCGCCGACTGTGCATGAAAAAAAAAAACTGTCCTTATCAGGTCTTGACAACTACGAGAGAGTTTTGGAAGTGTTTAAATTGATTAAGAGGGATCTGGGTGAGATTCTATCTTCCTGCGAGTTGATGGACAGGAGTTCGATGGAAGCTGTGGAAGAAAATGTTAAACTTCGTGTTCCCTTGAAAGAGTCCCCATTCTATATGTTGATAGAGACATCAGGCAGTAATTGTGATCACGATAAAGAGAAACTGTCTCAGTTTCTTGAAAATGCTCTTGAGAAAAAACTGATTACGGATGAAATACAAGCAAGTGAACCCTCCCGCATTAAAGTGAGTCATCGTGATACATATTTACATTTTCTCCAAATAATTTGAATCTTTCTAGATTTCCAAAAAACAGAGGTACGAGGAATATTGATTCCTTTTATTAAAAATAACTTTTCCTGTATTGCAGCAACTTTTTGAAGTGCGGGAGAAGATGGGAGAAGCACTGTTTTTGGATGGACATCTTTATACTTATGATATTTCCTTGAAGCCTCAAGACTTCTACTCAATTGTACACACTACAAGAGAACACTTAAAAAATGTACCGGGTGTTCTACGAGTAAATGGATTTGGACATTTTGGTACGGAATTTAATGACCACATTTTAACGTGTGAAGTAGCTTTACTCATCACAAAGTGCATCTCTGCTGCTTTGCCTATGGTTACCGATGACAGTTCACTGATTCTCGCACTAAAGCATGTGGTTACTTTTACTTTGCTATGGCTTTTGTCCAACCTTGTAGTTTTCATTTACATTCAATTTACTCATGTGGGTCCTCTCTATGTTGTCAAACAGGTGATAACAATATCCACCTTAACATCACATCGAAAAAGTACAGCAAAGACATCGTCAACAACCTTGAACCTTTCGTGTATGAATGCACCTCAAAGCTTGGAGGCAGTGTTAGTGCAGAGCACGGTATCGGTCTGAAGAAAACAGATGCTGTCCACTTCAGCAAACCTCCTCAAGCCATACAGCTCATGCACCAAATTAAAAATGTCATGGATCCAAATGGAATCATGAACCCGTACAAGGTTCTTCCATCAATAAACTCAGAATCAGCTTGAAATTGCGAACTCCTTTATTCAAGCAAACAAATGATATCAAATGTTCCACTTTCCCGCATACACACGGAGTGCACGACAGCAAGTCTATGGTCTCATTTTTCTGGTCTGCCCCGTGGAGCTTAAAGATTCGCATTTTTAAGCAGCCATTGCACCACAAGCGCCTGTAAAGCACAGTTGGAATTTTACTGTAAAAAATAACAGGAGGTTGACATGACAATCCCCATCTAAAAGCACGTTTGTAAAGCAGAGTTCAAGTGAAACGGTTCAATAATATCTGAACGAGGAAATATAATGAGAGCGAGAGTAATCTCTCATTGATACCAAAGATAACCCTCGCACTTGATCTAGTAGCTGGCCACTCCGTATCGCCACCGTCACCCAATTCGTCGGGAATCGCTCAAAATGACAGTTCTCGACACATCCTGAGAGGGAGCGGAAAAACCAATTACGCGTCAGATCAACAGATGGTTCTAATCAATTTGTAGTGGCCATAGCTCCTGCTTCGCCTGCCCGATTCGGTTCTCACCGACAGTCAAATTGTCCGCCGTGCTTTTCCGCTTCCGGCTAGGGTTCCTAAACTTCGCCAGTAACGAGCCTTTGAGCGACGTCTTGGAGCCGAGACCGCGCTCTTACGGCGGGCGGGTCAGGAAAAGGGCGTCGACGTCGATGAGCCGCGCGCCTCGCTGTGTGTTTTGCCTCGGCAGAGGGAGGAGGACCACTGCCGCACCATCGTCGTTTTTTTTAAATCTCCCGTTCCTTTTTTCTCTCACGTCTTCTTAACTTTGGTTCCGCGGCCACGCCCGCTGCATATGAATGGCACGATTGGAGCAGGGAGCTGGAGGGGGAGGCGGGATCCTCGAGCCTTCTCCGCCACGGTTTGACGGCGGCGCCAAGACGATACAGCCCACCGCAGCACCCAGCGCTACACGACACGGGAAGCTTTGGTGCACTCCTCGTTGCGAGCCGCGAGACGTCCGTGCTCACTTGGGATCGGCCCAAAAGTTCGCTTCAGTTCTCTCCCCTTCTCTTTCACACACGCGCACGCAGAGACAAACTCTCTCCCACACATGGTCGGCCGTGTCGTACGCGTGGGCGGGCGAGACGCGACACGCGCACGTGACACAATAATTTACGTGCTTTCTTTTACTTACGTGCTTTCGGCGGGCCGCCGCGTGCACGCAATGCAGGGCCGCGCTTGGGGCCGCGTGTCCTCGGGGCCCTCGGTGTCCTCGGTGCCCTCGGTGCCCTCGGTGCCCTCGGTGCCCTCGGTGCCCTCGGTGCGGGGATCGAAAGGTTTGGGCGCACCCGCCTGGCGCCATCAGGGATGAGGTGAGGTGTGCGGCGCAGACAATGTCATTAGTCTTGAGTGAGCGCAGAGTGCTCGGCGCACGCTTCCCCGCCCTCACACTAATGCCTAATTGCGCGAGCCGCTTGAAGCTGAGCGTCGCTGAGCGTCGCCGGGAGAAGCCATCGCCTCACGCTTGCAGCACTTTGTCGCCCCGAGCGCCTGCGGTGCGCGGGGCAGTCCCGCCACGCGCGCGCGCCGGGTGTGCTGCCTACGCGCCGCACCGCAGGCGCTCTGCTATTGCTTTTAATGGCTGGACCACAAATGATCGTTTGCCTTTTCGGGTCCGACCGGCCTGCCCTCGGCCGACCCGACCACAGAGCTGACCGGACGGACAGTGCTCTGTCCCAAACGGAAACGCCTCGAGAGTGCGAGAGGGACGGAACGCACTTTTAGGCGTGCACCTGTAGCACCGCTTTATCCTGCCGATGCGCTCCTTGTTCTGCCGGCTGCCCCGTCTGGTGCTGGCGGCGCCGCGTACTCCTTTTTCACTACCTGGCCTGCCCCGCCCCGAGCGACTTAATTTTAATTCGCCGCAGCTCGGCCCGGCGGGCCCGGCCCGGCGGGCCCGGCCAGGCACCAGGTGAAGACAAAAGGGCATCCTCCCCGTTTGACGTGCAAGCCCTTCCTTTGTCGTGCCAACCACCTTTTTGAAAAACATAAAGAAAATAAAACAACAACAAAAAACATTTCCATCGTCTAAACTCCTTTGGATAATGAGGCAAGTTGGGTGCGGCAGCCATTTTTCACCGTGAAAAAATAAAAATAGAGGAAACTTGAAAAAAAAACTTCTGATTTTTTAGTGACTCCAAAACCTCTTCTACTTCACGAATTTTTGGCAAGTTGCGTTCCGACAAATGTTTTTATCTCTCCGGTGTTTTCCAATTTATCCGTGTGCTTTCGGAGAAAGGGGTAGGGGGTGCGTTCCGTTGCGCGTTCTTTGTATCAACAGGCTGCAGGCTCCCCGCAGAGTGGCGGAATATCGGGCGAACGTGACGTGTCATCGGTGGAAGGAAAGTCAACCGAAGTGTCCTCCCCATTTTTAGGGGGCCTCCGTTCAGCACATGAACCATAATATGTTGTCCCGTTGTTTCGTTTCAAATCATCCCAACTTTCTTTTTTCGACACTTTTACTACGCCGCTGCCCAAGTTGTGGGCCTGGCCCGCTGGGGTGGAGGCCCGGTGTGGGGCTCTGGGGCGAGAGGGCCTGCCCAGCCCGCCGATGGCGATGCAGGTGCGCCGCCATGGCGCCACAGCGCCGGGAATGTGGAGTTTGCCCCGGGCAGATTGCTGGCTCTATCTCGCACCTGCACGGCACGCCCCATGAGTGCGAGAGAGGTAGCGACGACGACGACTCTCTGGACTGGCATTCCCGACTGGTGCCCCGAATTTAAACGCTCGGCCGATTTGGCCACTTCACGTTGCCGGGCGGGAATGCCACTCGTTTTGATGCCCAACCCGATTCGAACGAAGCGCTCCGTACCGGCACTGGCCTGCATAGTCGTCCTGTCTCTCTCGCATTCGTGAGCACCTGCGAGAAAGAGAGGACGCCAATACATCTGTTTCAAATCAAACTGTCAGGTGGTTTTGCACTGTATTTCGCGACCCTCGAACGCGCACATGCCCCCTGCAGCAGTTGAGAGGTTGAGTTTCATCGGGCTGTATCACGCTTCACTGCGCCTCGCTGCGTCCAGGTCATCATCGCCCTCTTAATTCTTGATTCACGGTAATTGCCCAGGTGTAATTAATATCGATGATGTCGTTAGGACTGGATGCCGGGGTCCTTAATTGAGACGAAGGGCCGCGGCCCGCCGGTAGCCAAGGCGGTAGCCAAGGTGGAGGTAGCCAAGGCGGTAGCCCGTCGCTCGCGCGTCAAAGGAAGAGCCCTCCGCTCCTTTCTTCTCTCTTGGCCATTTTTTCTCTTTCCTCGCCGCTCCCCGCGGAAACTATTGGCCAGCCTCAAGGCCACACGCGCAGGGCAGCGCGGCCGCGTCGAGGGGCCGGGGGTGAGGCGGTGCGGCGAGGGCACTCGACGGGGCTCGCTGGCATTCCCTGGGACTGCCGGGGACTACTCGCCTTAACGCGGCTCTCCTTATCGGCGCCCTCGAAGTGCGAGATGGGAGAGAGGGGGGAGGGGGGACAGAGGGCGCTTCTGAACGGCGAGTGAGCGATGCTGGACGTTAAGATGGACAAGGATAGCGGGATGAATCGCCCGTGCGGCCCGGTGCGGGACTGGGACTCCGGGCCGCCCCGATGAGCCAAGGCCCGGCCGAGGCCCGGCCGAGGCCCAGCAGTGCCGTGCTAAGCGGCCTACACCGGGCCGCCATTAATAATGATTGCCTCGTTTTCCGCACTTTCCCCGACAGCTGCTGCTGGGATGTTGACTAATTCCCACTTCCTCCGACGCCCCGACTAACAGCCACCTCGCTGTTGCAGCCCCGGGCAGCACCGCGGCGGCGGCGGGCCGCCATGGCGGACTCCAGCGAGTCGGAGAAGGCGCTGGAGGGGCTGCTGGGCACGTCCAACGGCTCCCTGCTGCTCAAGCCCGTCATCAAGACCACCCTGGAGTCGTCGTACCCCGTCATCGTGGCCATGTACGCCCTGCTCGTGGTGTCCGGCGCCGTCCTCAACCTGGGCCTGCTGGGCCTGGTGCTGCTGCGCCGGCTGCACCACCAGAACACCATGTGCCTGCTGGCCAACCTGGCGCTCGCCCACCTCGTGCAGTGCCTCGCCGGTGAGTCTCGGAGGCAGACCCGGCCTTTGTGGGAATGAAAGGGTAGCACTTAGTGCTTACAGCCTACTGAGGATAAAAATGCCCTTGTGGTAAAGAAATGCTCTTGGTGAAAGTTAATGCTCTTGCCGAAAATAAAATGCTCTTCTTGGAATGGACTGCCCTCACAGAGGCTAAGTGTGGCTATCTGGATGCCGAGAAATGGCAGTGTGCTTGATACACTGGCTGGAATCCTTCGTGATTGGTGTCGCAGCGAAGAGAATACCGGCTGGCGCGCGCTGCTGGCGCGGCACTCGGCATTCCTTTCGTTATGACAGTCTGGCTGTTGACGCGCCAGGCGGCGCGGACGGGCTGGCAGCCCTGGACCATTCTGGACGCGGCCCCGTCCGTCTCTGTGTCCACGCCCGTCAAAACGAGATGTTACAAAACAAAATTCAGCCTCAATGGCTCGGGCAATGTGTTCAGGTAAATCGATTTTAGTATAGATGCCAAAACTTATGTCAAAGAGCGACCTATATTAAAAACTGTTCACATTTTATTTGCTCCCATGTAATTGTGTATAAAGTTAAGATTTGAATCAAACGAAATAGACTTTATAAGTCATACGCTGCAATCCATATAAAAGTGCCCTCGTCTGGCGGGCGTTGCAAGGGCGTTTCATGACTACGTACCCGCCGGCAGTGTCACGGCTCGGCGCTCTCGTTTCACCCGGAGCATTCATTAAAGTTTTCAAAGGGCATTCTCGTATTTCTCGTGTTTACTTTCCGTGCCTATAAAATTGGTTTCTTTTGGTTCCAGGCATCCCCATCACGCTGACGGTGATGCTGGTGACGAACTGGGTGCTGGGCCGGTTCCTCTGCTACTTCCTCCCCATGCTGCAGGTCGGTAGCTGCGACGAGGCAATGCCGGGCACGTGCGCCATGTGGTCGAGCTGCTCGGTGCGCGGAGCGTTTTCCCGCTTTTCCCCCTTTTCGCGCAGCACACACACACACACACACACACACACACACAAACTCACACACTCCAACACAGACACGCTTTGCGCATAGTGGATCCCGACGGACCCGCTCCGTTGCGACACGGTGCGCCAAATCAGCCCTTTCACTGGTTCTGCACGACTATCTGGCTCTGTGTGTATCTGTCCAATCTGAAAGCCCCCCCCCCCCCTGTCCCCACACACTCTAAGCGAGGTGGCGCGGCAGTTCTTCTATCGGTTCGAGTGTGTGACCGCTGTGAGTGGGGTGCGAAGCGTGCGAGAGGGGGAGCAGTAGAGATGACGGTAGAAAAGAAAGGGGAGCAGCAGCCGTTATTCGACCACTGGCCCTACGCGCGCGCCCTGCCGCGCCCCGCGCCCCACCCCACGCGATGCCCTTTCCTCCCAGCGGGGAAAATCAGTGGCTCAGATCGCGTGTAGCCCCGGGCAATACCCTGGCCGCCATTGTCTCTGCCGAACTTGGGCCGGGCATGCGAGCAGCGCGGCGGCGAGCGGCGGCGAGCGGCGGCGAGCGGCGGGCCCTGGGGCTGCCGCGGCTTGCCCTCCCCCGCCCCGCCCCGCCCCGCCACGCCATGGAATGAAAACAGAGGCCGCCACGCCCCGCCACGCCCCGCCACGCCCCGCCACGCCCCGCTCGCTGGTGGCCGAGAGGCGTACGGCACGCGGCTCTAGTGGCAGCAGCGCACCCAACGTACGGCGCGCTCCTCTGGGGCCCTCTGAGGCCCTCAGGGGCCCCGGGGCAACCGGAGTACTTACCAGGTCGCGAGCGTGATGATGCCGCGGCGTCTCGAATGGCCTCTTTGTTGTATGACGAGCCGGGCCAATGAGTGGCGGGGCGGGGGGCGGGGGGAAGATGAGCGGGGCGGCGTTGTTTCTGCTACCGGAGACCGGCACGCCACGCCTTGCCACCCCCCGTGGCCCACACTCAGCGGGGATTCCAGCCAGGTGCGACTCGTCGTGAGCCTCTGACTGTGATGGGGGCGCCGTGTTGTGCCGCTGTTTCGTCGCCCTGCAGCCCTGCAGCCGCGGGGGACGTTCCGGACGGGAGCGACATACGGGGCGGCGGTGGCGTGTCACTCGCAGAGGTGGTCGTGGTGTGGACGTTGACACGTGACCCCCCCCCCCCTTTTCCTCCCTTCCGGACCCCGGCCCGGACTTTCTCCGCGGCTCTTCCCCGCCGCGGGGCCGCGGGCCTGGAACCCTTTCCTTTCGCTAACAGCTCGGTAAATATTCCGCCGCCCGTTTGGTTTGAATGCGTGGGCCCGGGGGCGTCCCATGGTGCCCCGTGGCGTCCCGCGGTGTCCGAGCGGAGGCCGAGGTCGTGATGGAGGCCGAGGCCGTGGTCGCGCGCGTGGGCCGAGCCGGAGTGGGCTGGCCGGGGCCGTGTGGGGGCCGCGCGGCAGCGAAGTGGTTGGGTGGCACGGCACGCCGATCGCGAACGACGCCGCCACCGCGATTGCCTGGGCTTCCCGATGCTTCGACGATTCACCTGCGCGGTCCGCTGCACTCCCTCCCTCCCTCCCTCCCTTCCCTCCCTCCCTCCCTCCCTCCCTCCCTCCCTCCCTCCCCTCCCTCCCTCCCTCCCTCCCTCCCTTCCCTCCCTCCCTCCCTTCCCTCCCTCCCTCCCGCGGACCTTTCAGAGTCCGTCTGTCTGTCTGTCCACCTGTCTGTATGCCTGTCTGTCAGTGTTACCGGTACTATGCTAGAGTGTCAGTATGTCTGTGAGTAGGGTCGTGCGCACATCACCGAGGTGAATTCGCTGGTCGCTGCGCCTCGGCCGTCACCGCCTCGCTGCGGACTGATTCCGAGGGTCGTTTTCATCTCTCCGTCTCTCTAGCACTAATAGAACGTTCTTTACTGGTGCGAGAGAGACTGAGGCAGAAACTCCGGTGCGCCACGCTGCGATCGAGAATTGGCCCTTGCGGTCCCCACCGGTCCGCTCCGGTCCCCTCTCCCTTCTCGGAGTCCTTGAGGTGCGCCGCCCGGCAACTGCGAGGCAACTGCGGGGCACTGCGCGGAACCGGATGCAATTTATCGCCGAGTTTGTGGCCGCTCGAAAAGCGACCGATTTGATTGCATTTATTGAGGTGGAGGACGCGTGCGTGCGTTTGAAAGGATCGGAAATCGGAATGGAAAACTGAAACCAAAACACCCCCACAAATCGAAAGGTCAGAGGTTACTCCTTCCAGAATCGAGACGGAAACCAAAACTGGGTTAGATTTTTTTGTCTCGCCATTTGTTTGCGAAAAGCTATCTATTTAATTTTCCGAGAAGCCCCATGCTATTTAACAGGTCCATGCTGCTCTCCGGAGTAGTGGAGGGTCGTTGGCAAACTAAGTAACTCGCCCAGAGAGACTTCCGTGGCCGAGCGCACTCCTGCTCTGTTCCGTGACACGATTGTCACGCGCCGGGTTCGTCACCGGCCGTCTCCTCCTAGAAAAACTTTCTTCATATTTTTCCCGGTCTTGGAGTTTGAAGTGTCGTGCAAGTAGGAAAAGCGCGGGGAGTGCTCAGTCATCTGCCGATCGCTGCCGATACAGCGAGCCGCCTGGCTTAGGCCGCTCCCTCTTATTGGTTGCGCCACTGCACGCGAGTCAGCTTCCAATGACGGATGGGTGAATAAACCTCGCGAGGCGAAGGAAAAAAAAACATGTAAAAGATTTGGGGGAGAAATGCGATGTAATTTACTTCTCTGACAGCGGCCCAGCCATCATGGACGACACCGCAGCCTCCCTTGCCCTCCTTGTTCCCCGAGGAAATTTCCCAGACGCTTTTTAAGTTGACTCTGGAAATTGCTTTGGCGGCCGCACCACGCGGACTTTCGTTTCTTGAAAATGGAATGTGAGGAAGAGGCGGCGGGGCCGGGCTTTGAACCCGCGCTGCGTTACTTACGGCGCGCTGCAACCGCACCGCGTGCTGTAACCACATCGGGGGCAAGGACGGAAAATGGCGGGGAGGGGGGGGTGACCGCAACACCAAAAATCGGACCGCGCCGGTGCACCGTGGCGTGGCCCCTTCGCCCCGTATCCCAGGAGTATGTATATCTAGCGCTGCCCCCTCCAGCCCCCTGAGCTGCGCCCACGGCTGAACGGGATCCCATTTTCCCCCATTTCTGGGAGGGTGGGGGGGGGGGTGTCGTGGCCGTCTAAGGGCTCCCAGGGGATCGGCGAGTCGTGGTCGTGTGCGGCCTGGCCGGGCCTGGCTGCCTGGCTGCCTTGCTGGCTGGCTGTTGGGCCACGCACATGACCGGCCTACGTATGAGGGTCCGGCGGGGCTGGCGGGGCTGGCAGGCCTGCATTGTGGGACTGTGACTGGATCCGCGTCGCCACTCAACACCCCGGACCCGTCCGACCGCGGCGGCGTGCGTGCCGTGCGCAGCCCTGCCGCAGCCCTGCCCCAGCCTTTCAACCCTCCCGGCCCGCGCTGCGTCACAATCCCGTGGGCGACAAAAATTTATTGTTTTGATTTGGCTCATTTGTTTTACTTGGCGGGGGCGCGGAAATGGCCCAAATCGTTGGGCCGCTTCCGTTTTCCCCCATTGTTTTCTTTTCTTTTTTTTTTCGCTCCGACCCCACCGCGCTGTTGAAATGACTACTCGATAGTGTACAGTCCGCATCGGGCAGGGCCGGACAAAGGGGGTAAATTGAGATGTCACTCCACCGCTGGCGTGTTTGGCGCGGCAGTGCTCCTGGGGGACCGTGGAGGGGGGGGGGGGGGGGGCGAGGAGGAGCGCCGCGAGTCGCAGAGCGCCGCGCGGAGCACCGGAGAGAGCCAGCGAGCTGGAGAGGAGCCCCTCCGCACCGTCGCTCAAATGCGAGAGTACCCGAAGAGGGGGCAATGGAAAACGCGACCACACTCTAATTCCACAATATGGCTCGCTGTGGTGAAACACGACCCCTGGCCGACCCCCTCTCCCCCTCTCTCTCTGCCCCCCCCCCCCCCCCCCCCCGGTTGTCGACTCCACTATTTGGCTGTCGTGCCCGGTTAATGACACTGTTCCGTTCGTGTGGTACACGCTGGCCGTCCCGGCCGCGCCCGCCGCGCCCCGTCCGCGCTGTCTCTCAGGCCCCGAGGGCTGCGTGGGGCTGCGTGCTGGCCGCGGGGACCAGCCTCGCCGTGCCGCGACTGCCCGGACTGCCTGGAGGCTTGGCGAGTTGACTCCAGTGTCAGAGGGCGTGAGTTTGACGGGGAGAGGCCCCGAAGTACCGGTTTCACTATATGCCTTCTGGACGCCCGTGTTATTTCGTTTAACGTAGGATTGGCGGTGGTTTATTTCGTATACAAGCCAACAAGGCTTATGTGGCTCAGGCGGAAAAGCCCTGAAGCAAATATGGACTTCGCCTAACAGACAAGGGAACTCGGAGAGGCGTTTGTGTTGAAGCTCTGTTCGCCCCCTCTGAGCGAATCCGCGTATCATCATCATGCTTATGTTTCCGTGCCCGCTGTATAACGAAACGGGAGGAGCAAACGGATGGGGAATTTCTGTTTTAATGGATTTTGGCTCGCGTGCTTGTTTCAAGCGGAAACACCACTCAGTACTTACTCATTCCCTCACGCACGCAGTCACTCGCGCGCGCACGACGTCACACAAGGCACAGGAAGGCAAAGTAACTCCTGAGAAGGCGGCACATCCGAAACACTTCCCCGCCTCTGCCCGGCCTTCCGCCTATTATTCCCCTGCTTAGGCCCGCGCGGTGGGCGTGCTGTGCGCGGCGTGCTGTGCGCGCGAGTGTGACAGCGGCCCGCAGCGACTTTCCTCCTTTTTGAAATGGAGGCCCTTTTCCCGGTAACGTAAGCCCAAGCCTATGGACATGGAAAGGAGGATTCCTGGACGCCGAAAATTCTGCTGCTCTTCATTTCCTGCCCCTTTTCAAGAGGCGCTCCGAT